CGCGAACGGAGGCCACCTGGCGGAGGGCGCCGCGGTCCCGCCTCCCCGGCCGGCTCTGGGACCTCCTCCCCCTCCCCGCCCCCGCCCCCTCCAGGCGCTCCCTAACCAATGGCTCGTCCACCCTCTCCGCAGATCCTCTCCAGCCAGCCAGGGGCTTTAAAGGGATTCGCTCGGCCGGGCGCTCCGAAGCAGCCTGGACGGTGGGGACCGACGGGCATCCGGGCCAAGTGAAGACGCCGGCGCCGCAGCCAGCGCAGCTCCCTCCCCGCGCGGCACCATGCCCCGGTCCTTCCTGGTGAAGAGCAAGAAGGCGCACAGCTACCACCAGCCCCGCGCCCCCGACGGGGAGGGCAGCCTCAGCCTGGAGAGCGTCCTGGCCCAGATCTGTGCAGGTGAGTGCCCAGCCCCCCCCCCAGCATCTCTCTCTCTGTGTGAGTGTGTGTGTGGGGGGGTGCGTTCTGCTTTAAACCGAGTCGGACGCCCCCTCCAACTCCCGGGCGTCGGGTGAGGGATCCACGGCCTGACTTCTCTCTCTCCATTCCGGCTGGGGGGCGGGGTGGGGAGTCTAATCCGCGCTTGCGAGGGGGAGAAGGGATTTGGGAAGCTTGATTCCCACGGGTGGCAAAACCCCAGAAGAAGAATCGACCCCCCGCAAAAGGGGTGGTGGGGGGCATTTGTTTACGGAGGCGGTAAAAAGATGACTTTAGCCTCCATTTTTCAGATGGGTCAACTGCAATGTTCCTTCTAAGCTGTGGCGTCTTGTGAGCAAAAATTCTACTTTGTGAGCTGCTGGCATTAAAGTTGTGAGCGAGCGATTTGGCTACTGCATAAATTAGTTTGCTCTGGAGCCCCATCCTTCCTGGGCTAAGACAAAATGTATGAGCCGGAGGCTAAAAAACTGTGAGCTAGCTCACACTAACTCAGCGTAGAGGGAGCACTGGTCAACTGAGGGGCGCGGGGCGGCAGCTCTTTCTATGGATGCTGAGGACTGATCCTAGGAGGAGAGAGACGGGGGGGGGGCTGATGGGTTCTGGGGAGCGGGGAGAGCGGGCGCCCACTCTCTCTCCCTGTCTCTTTCCCTGGACAGACACCAAGGTCTCGGGGCAGCTGAACCTGGACCTCCCCGAGCCGGAGCCTGCCCCCGGCCGCTTCTCCCCGGCGTCTCAGCTGCCCGAAGGGACGGAGGGCACCTCGGACTCGGCTCCCAGCTGCGAGGGCAGCTTGTGCGACAGAGCCGCGGAGCTGGAGGATTTCTGGAGGCCGCCGTCTCCTTCCGCTTCTCCAGGTGAGGCGGGCCTGGGGTGTCCCCGTCAGCGGGGGCCTGGCTGGCACTCGGGGAGGGGAGGGGAGGGGAGCCGATCTTCTCCTCTCCCGCAGCTGGAGGGACTCCCCGGCTCTAGCGACGGCACTAAAGCGAAGGGATGGGTATGGCCGGGGGGTGGGGTGGGGACGACGACTGCGGAGGTCTCATTCAGACGTTCGTTGATAATATGTGTGTGGCTAAAGAAATGTTCAGGGTTGGTTCCTTTCAGAAAAGATTTACAAACAGTCGCATTCCCAAGAATCTAAAATGCAACTTTGGGGCGGGGCGAATTTCGGAAAATCCAGTCTGGATTCCAAGGTCTGAACCGCTATAGCCCCAATGTACGGGAAGCTTTAATAGACGCTTTTTAAAAAGGGGTTACGGATTTAACCGGAGGGACCCCATTAACTGGAGGGCTTCGTTCTCTCTCGGGGGCCACTTTCTGGACCAAAATCGTCCCCCCGACCAAAGAGGCGCGCTTGTGTATGCGCCTCTGCCAAAGGGACGGAGATCTCGTTGGTGGAGCAGATGAAAGCGCCCAGGGGAGCGAGGCGGAGCGCGCGAAAAGAGCGGAGAGAGCCCCGGGTTTTCCAGGGGATGCGGCGCTTCCCTAGACGCGCTTCCTGCGCACAGGTCTTCTACTGACCCTCGACTTTTAGGGGCGGCGGCGGGGAAGGACTGCCTTTTCGGGTGTCCGCTCTCCCCGTTACGAGAGGATCGATCCTGCGACCTTTCCCCTTTCTGTCTCTATCCCAAACGAGGCACCGTTGCGGAAGGCCTCTCCTCTCCTCTCCTCTGGCGACATCTCGAGATCGGAGCCGCTTCGGGCTGCCTCCTCCGGCCTTTGATGTGGTCGGACCGGAAAGGAAGCTGAGCGCCTCCCTGGGCGTCAGTCTTATCGCGGGTACAAAGACAGTCCCGGCGATTTCAAACCATTTGTTGGCGGGTTTCTTTTCTGAAAGAGAAATGTTTCCTTCTTTCTTTCTTTTTAATCGGCCGGGAAAGAAAGTGTTAAAAGTGGCAGTGAAAGGGGACGGCCAGCCGGCGTTATTGAAAGCGAGTAAAGCAACGGACTTTAAAAAAAATATATCCAAAAATCACAATACTATTTCTTTCATAGCCTACCACTAGAAAATACAGCCTTGGGAAGTAAAAAAATGCACGCCCTCCGCCTTACATGACTACTACTCCGTCGTTACATCCACGGCCTGTGCATATTTCATGCGTAGACTTCGGCCTCTGCTCCATAAGGAGCGCCATCGTTTGATGGACGGGCCATGTGTGCTGTCCACCCAGAGGCATCAAGGGCAGCACGGCGACCGGCGTCCGGCTAATTTGCTCGCCGCCTCTCTCCCCTCCTCCTCCCCCCATGACGTCCCTAGTAGGGAAATCCTCTCTTACACATCCAAAGACGGAATCCTGGAAGGAAAAACGAATCAACTGAGAACACGACGCATTCGCCAGAGAGTCTGGAGGGCTGGATTCTTCCCCCGCAGTCAGATCGCGGGGGGGGGGGACAAGCTGGAGGCTCGGCTGCCTAAAACCGAGGCAAGAGTCCCTCACCCCTCCCGGGCGGGGGAGAGGCCTGCCACCGGACCCCACCGCTCTTTTGACCAGGCTCAAGGCGGAGCCCACTGCCTCCCCCCCCCCTTTATAAACTGCCACCGGATTTGTTATTCTCGGGGCTGAGGAGGAGGAAAGGAAACTGGGCAGGACCTGCAGAAGAAGGAAAGAAGAGCGCTGCATTTCTAGGCACGTAACGGGAACCTGCTTTGGTAGCATTCCACCTGCGGACACCCATAGGTAGAGCTTTGGGGACCAGTTAGGCATGGCGCTGCAGACTGTCGTCGAATGATTGTCTTCATCGACGTTTTGCGTTCTAATGTTGTCAGTTTACTGTTTATCCATTGGTGTAACCCGCCTTGAGCCTGCTGGGAAGGGCGGGGTAGAAATCTAATAAAACAAACAAATAAAATACAGACCGTGCATGGCACAGTCCCCTTACTTAAGGGACACATCGTTTTAATGGCATAGATCTCTTCCCAGGGCTTGGTGCTTGTAGCCACCCTCTGACCAAGAGTGCGTCCCTACGGGGAGGAGTACCGATCCCACGGGCCTCTTCCACTGATACCCGTGCTCGCTTGCCTAGAAGAAGGCCTGCTCAAGAGCAGCTAATAATTCACTTCTAGCCCGTTTGAACATGTAGTCGTCGGCATCTCAGCCACAGCTGATTTGATTTATTAGATTTCTACCCCGCCCTCCCAGCCCCGGCTCAGGGCGGCTTACATAAAAAACAACAGAAAATTTACAATAATATAGAATAAAAATTAAACAGCATCAATTAATACAAATAACAATTCTAAAACCATAAGACATAATAAAGTGCTAGTATCAGTGATTTCACAGCGGTTGTTGGTGCTTAGTTCTCTCTCCTCGCAGTCGGCTCCTTGATCTTCTTAGGTTGTTTTAGGCGGCTGGCTCAGGCTGTAGTTAGAAGTCCCAAGGGAAACAGGGCTCTCCAACCTTAGGCTGCCAGTTGTTAGTAGTGGCGGCAGCTCCAAAGGCCTGGTGGAAGAGCTCCGTTTTGCAGGCCCTGCGGAACTGCAAATGGTCCCGCAGGGCCCTGGTCTCTTCCGGGAGCTCATTCCACCAGAATGGAGCCACCACCAAGAAAGCCCTGGCCCGGGTTGTTGCCAGCCTGGCCTCCTTGAGACTCGGGAGGACCAACCGATACTGGGCCCCTGATCACAGTGTTCTCTGGGGTATATGTGGGGAAAGGCAGTCTCTCAGGTATGTAGGTCCCTCGCCATAAAGGGCTTTAAAGGTAAGAGCCAGCACCTTGAAACAAATCCGGTATCCTATAGGCAGCCAGTGCAGTGCCTTTAGCACAGGCTGGATGTGCTCCCGGATAGGGAGGCCCATCAAAAGGCTGGCCGCGGCATTTTGGGATCCATGCTGCTGCTGCTGCTGAAGAGAATGTCTAGGGAGTCCCTGGCCCCAGTCACAGGCAAAGTTGCCACGGGAGAGGCACGGATGGTGGGCGGATTGTCCCGGCGCGTCTGATCGCGAAATCGCTGATCAAAAGCTCTGTCACGGCACCTTTGCTGGATCGGTCCCTCGAGTCCGCCGGCAGCCGAGCCTCCCCCGCCCCCGCCCCCGACAGCGGCGACACGGTAGACTGCCTCTGCCCATGGAGGCTAGCCCCCTGGTTGGTAGGTCCTCCGTGAAGGGGAATGACGTTCCTTGCCGTGGGAAGGGATTCCTTCCAGGGGAGGGGCAGGGGGGATTTGCTTCCGTCTTTCCAAGGGGTTTATCGCGGGGAGGGAGAGACCTGGGCCTGTCAGCCTTCCTTCCCTGCTCGGCCGGTAGGACTGGCCGGCTGGTGGTGCTCTGCTCGTCGGCCAGCGATCCTGCACCCGCCCCTCCCTGGCCTTCGCTTCCAGCCTCCTCCCTCCTCGACGCCCTTTCCTCCGACCTCAGGGACTCTGCATGGCACCCGCAACAGCCAAGTTCGCAACGTGTGGCCCATTTGACTACTTAGAAAAAGCGCGAACAGAGGTTTGCGGGTTTTTAAATCATTTATTTTCAGTGTGGGTCTGGAATGGAAATTGCTGACAGGTCTGAGCATTTCCAGTAGGTGCCCTTGAAGCTGCGTTGTGAGGGAAGGCGAGAATGCATCATGACCTTTTCCATTCTTCAAGGCGAGGTGGGGGGGGAGGGGAGGGGAGGGGGGGCTGTGAGGCTCTGCCTTCCGCCCTGGACCAGGCACTTGCAAAACTCATTAGGTTCGAAAACGATCGCATTCATTGTTCCAAGATGTCCCAGGACCTGAAGTAGATTGTCCAAATGGTGCCCCTCCCAGGCTTAAAAAAACACAACAATGTAAAGGTGTCTTTCAGTAGCACCTCCAAACCTGCTACCTAAGATGGACTGGCCCAGACTGCTTTGTGGTGTGGGGGGGCACCCCTGCTTTTATTGGGCCAGTTGGATTGTGGAAGCACAACCCCATGCCCAAAGCACCCCTGTCTTAAGGGAGATGCTGAGTTACACCTGATCTCCCCCAAGCTACAATTACCAAATGGTCAGGGAGAACCTGTGGCTACATCTCCGAAGCTAAGCAGGTGTGAAATATTTCTTTTAAATTGCCAGATTTTTAAAAATGTTTGAAATAGTGCACTAGCACCGTCCATCCTCTTTTTTTGTTCTTTAATATTTTTCTCTAGTCACTGCTTAAACAATTGAATGAAGTTCAAAGCCACATGGTTGTTATTAATTGTCTGCCTTTTTTACTGGGACCCCAAAGTAGATTACAACAATTTAAAAAACAACACACCTTTTCAGTCAATCTGTAAACAGATTACAAGATATTGTAGCATTTGAATCTAACAGCAACGGCTACTAGTAAGACCAAAAATAAAGTTGGGCTGGGATGGGGGGAATCCATAAACAATGCTGGCAAACATGTCCCTCTAAGGCAGCAAGACGTGTAGTATCTTCTTTTAAACATTGTCACCAGTAAATTGTTTTCCCTTGTGCAAACACCCCAACTTTACTAAACTGGAATAGGGGTCAAGGATATAAACTGTACACAAAGAAATACATTTTCCCAGTATAATGTAAAAAAAATATATCCAACTGGATTATTATTTGTAGTACAGGCACAAAACTCTATGGGAGTGGTATCTGGGTTCATAATGGTCCTAGTGTGTAATTCCTATGGAATCCCACTAATTTACAATAGCTCAGTCTTTCCCTGTCAGCTTAAAGCAATTTGCAGGTATGAATAAAAAAGAATCTCAAATGATGCACAGCTCCTTATTGAAAATGCAGCCTCAGTGCTGGTTGTCATTGTGGGGCTAAAGGCAGGTTTCCCTTTGTTTGCTTTGCATGTGCAGTGTTTCGTATATGACAGGAAAATAAGTGAGGTAGAAAACAGCAGAGTTTGATAAAAATAAGAGCATAAGAAGAGCCCTGCTGGATCAGACCAATGGGTGGTCCATCTAGTCCAGCAACCTGTCCGACACAGTTTCCAACCAGTTACTCTGGAGGTCCAGCAACAGGGCATAAAGACCAAGGCCTTCCCCTGATGTTGCTTCCTGGCACTGGGATTGAGAGGTTTACTGTCTCTCCATGTGAAGGTTCCCTTCAGTCACCATGGCTAGTGGCCACTGATAGACCCTATCATTAAAAAAAAATTCACTTTTTTGAACCATTGAGGTTATGGAGAAGGATTAATAAAAACAGAATTGCCCCAGTCTAGTTAATGATGCTGTTATGTGCATAGGGAGGTAAGCCATGCTGTGAGAGAAGGGTGAGCCTTTTATCTAAATGGATTTATATGGTCACTAATTAATGACATCACAGATTCCACCAATGCTCCCTCTAAGCCATGGAGTCTTGTGAGCAAAAATTCTACTTTGTGAGCTACTGGCATTAAAGCTGTGAGCGAGTGATTTGGCTACTTCATAAATTAGTTTGCTCTGCAGCCATCCTTCCTGAGCTAAGACAAAAATGTGTGAGCTGGAGGCTAAAAAACTGTGAGCTAGCTCACACTAACTCAATTTAGAGACAGTTTGGTGTAGTGTTTAAGTGCGCAGACTCTAATCTGGGAGAACTGGGTTTGATTCCCCCACTCCTCCACTTGCACCTGGCTGGATGACCTTGGGCAAGCCATAGTTCTGGCACAGCTGTTCTTGAAAAAGAGCAGTTTGTGTCAGAGTTCTCTCAGTCCCACCTACCTCACAGGGTGTCTGCTGTGGGGAGGGGAAGAGAAAGGAGTTTGTAAGCCGCTTTGAGACACCTTTGGGTAGTGAAGGGCGGGGTATAAATACAATCTCCTCCTCTTCTTCTTAGAGGGAACCAATTAGGTACTCATGATACTGTATATGCTACTTGGGGGAAGAAGATTATTCCCCCTTGGTAAAGAATATAATTTATCTGCAACAGTATCGCAGGGAAAGTATATGTCTGGATCATGTGCAACAACTTCATAATTCATATGTGCTTATTGTTCTAAAACTGATTCTGTAATAAGAAAGATCTTGCAAAGAACACTTTTGTGGGAGTAAGTGCTACTGATGAAATCTGAGTAGGATTCTGAGTAGACCTGTTTAGGACTGTTGTCTTGGTTGCGGTGTTGAAACAGCAACATCAGAAGGATCAATCCTAAACAAGCCTACTTGGAAGTTAATTCCATTTTATTCAATGAGCCTCATTCCCAGAAAAGTGTTTTTAGGATTGCAGCCGAGAGAAGTGAAGCGATGTTTTTACTAGGTCAACTAAGTTCTGAAATGCTAAAAGCAAGGTTTTGTTTTTGTTTGTTTTTAATGGGTAATTAAATTTGTGGGGCAGCATAAAAAACATTTCAGGCATGTAATATCTGCACATTTATAAATTCAGCAACATTAAATTGTAAATCTTTTCCTAGACGGGGCAGTGTCAGTTTGCGGGTGTGAAGTTGCCTGTTTGAACATTCTCCTTCAAACAAGCTTTCTGCAGGTCAAGGAAATCGTCAGGCTATCTTTCTGTCATTACATTTCCCCCCAGGGGATCCCCCCCCCAATATGAGCACACTCACAGACCCACTGACCTGCAATCTGAAGCAGTAGAGTGAAAGTCTTTGCTATTTGATTCTGCCCTAAGAGGGCTGTAGGTAAGAGAAATGTTTCAGAAGCAAACTGTACCTTAGCACCCCTAGAACAGCTGAATTCCTACTGGTCCTCATGTAATTTTATATTCTGAGGCCTTCATGTTTAGCTCAGAAATTTCAAATGATTGCACTAATATAGGGATCGGGCATCCTTTTCTCCTGGCTACCTTAAAGTATTCAAGATGTTGCTTGTAAATGCTCAGACCAAAGTGAAGCCTCCAAAATGGCGGCCACTTCCCTTTGTTATGTTTTCACACCAGTAGAGCCTTACTGCTGCACATCTAAAAGATGAGGGGAGTATATTACATGGCCATAGGGAGCAGTCCTAAACAGGTCTACTCAGAAGTAAATCCTATATTATTCAATGGGGAAAGATCCCTTAGGATTGCAGCCATAATCATATAGGCAAGTGGTTGTGAGACAAGTAGTTCTCACAGGTTTCTTTCTCAGAAGTAAAAAACAAATTCCATATGTATCATCCTTTAATCGCCAACATTTAGGAATAGCACAATGCAACATACACATTTGAAATCAGTGTCTCTTGCAAGCATGGCAAAATTGATATGTAACATAGAAATTTACTTGCCGCATCTAAGGTTGCATTGTTTGTGGCCACTAAACTTCAGGAAATTTTTGCAGATGTTTGAAATTAGTGGGATGTTGCAAAGTGCTTGTTTAAATACATGACTAGTAAGGCTTGCTGTTCAGTACTATTGCCGGCTGCCTGAAGGAAGATTTTTCTTGTTGTATATTTGTTCTGATGGAGCTTTGAGGCTAACAACAATAAAGTGTGCTATCAACCCATCAGTACATGTGCACTTATCTCACACAGCAGATATACCAGAAGGATTGTCTTCATGTTTGTGTGCTTATTTAATAAAATGTTAATACTCTGCTTTCCCTTGTGGCTCAAGCTGGTTTACAATTCCAAAAATTAAAAACACATAACACAGTAAAACACCATTACTGTCCTCCCCAGGAAAATGCATGCAGCTTAAACCCCATTAAAAGCAATTTTACAGTGCCCCCCTCCACTTCCTCGGGGAGCCTAGTCCACAAGGTGGCAGCCCCTATAGAGAAGGACCTGCTCTAGCAGATGCAAAGTTGGTCACTATAAGCTGTGCAACAGCTAGAGGCAGCACGAGTTGTGTGGACATCACAGTGTGAGAAGTGGCCCTTGGTGATTATATAACATAAGATCATATTGGCACAGAATAATCACAATCCAGTGTTCTCCTGATGAGATCAGATCTCTCTAAAGCACTGTGCATCTTTAGAGGTAAGAACAGTCAGGAAGAGAATATAAGCTATGCTGTGCACCACAGCCATTGGTTTCATCAACTTGTGTTTCTTGCAGCTTCCGAACGTTCCATCTGTCCCTCCTTGGATGAAACTTCTCCTTTCTTGGTACCCTTGAAACCTTATGCATGGAGTAGCCTGGGCAGTTCAGAGCTGAGACATTTGGTACAGAACTACAGGCCCTGCCCAACTCTGGAACGTAGCTCATCCCTTGGTCTCTTCTGTGAGCGGGGATCTGAGTCCACACTCTATGGAACAGAGCGCAGCTCGGCTCTGGCACTCTATAGTGACTTTAGCTCCCCTGGACTCTTTGAGCGGCCAGCAGTTACCCCCGGAATCTACGTAGAAGCCCCGCCTGGACTCCCACAAGAGAAAAGTGCAAGTGGCATCAAGGTGGAATCAGAGCTCCTCTGTCGCCCTCTATTGATCAGCACTGGGTCCTACAAGTGTGTCAAATGCAGTAAGGTAGGAACTATGTTCTATCACACACACACACACACACACGCCCCCTTCAGCAGACAGTCTATTTAATCATCTTTTAGACTTGGCTGTAGCTGAATAAGCAAAGTGCAGAGTATGGCAGATGCAGGCCTGGCTTAAAAGCTTCTGATAGGGGTATTACACATGACTTGCCCTGGCCTATTGGTTGTTCAAGTTGCCTGAGAAGATCTAGTAGTGGGACTTCTTGCATTTTTTATTTTTTGCATTAATATTTTAGAGCATTCTGCATAGAAACTCAATGCAATTTGAACTATTTTACCATTTATTTATTTGTTCATTTTTAAAAGAATCTCTGCTAGATGGTTTCACAGATCCTTCAGAGTCGCTTATAGCGACATATATCATGATTGTGTGTGTTAAGTGCCACCAAGTCACTTCGGACTTAGGGTGACCCTGTGGATTAATAACCTACAAAATATCCTATCATTGACAGTCTAGCTCAGGTCTTGCCAACTGAGGGCCCTGGCTTCCTTGATGCAGTCAATCCATCTCATGTTGGGTCTTCCTGTTTTCCTGCTGCCTTCTGCTTTTCCTAGCATTGTTGTCTATTCCAGTGACTCTTGTCTTCTCGTAATGTGACTAAAGTACCATAGTCTTAGTTTAGTCATTTTAGCTTCTAGGAAGAGCTCAGGCTTGATTTGACCTAGAACCCACTTATTTGTCTTTTTGACAGTGGCAGGGCTTTTTTTGTAGAAAAAGCCCAGCAGGAACTTATTAGCATAATAGGCCACACCCAACAGCAGAAACGCATTAGCATATTAGGCCACACCCTGATGTCACCGCTTATTAGGATATTAGGCCACACCCCCATGTTACCAGAAGTGTGGTCATCCAGCCACACCCACCTTTTGCTTCTTATTCTGTTTACCTTATTTGTTGTCAAAACCCAGGGCTTTTTTTTTGGGTAGCAGGAACTCCTTTGCATGCTAGGCCACACACCCCTAATGTAGCCAATCCTGATGAGTGTCTGCTGTTGGGTGTGGCCTATTATGCTAATGAGTTCCTGCTGGGCGTGGCCAACTCGGGAGCCAGCTGGAACTCTGTTCCTGTGCGTTCCTGCCCCAAAATAGCCCTGGACAGTGGTATGTGTAAAACTCTCCCCCAACACCGCATTTCAAATAAATCAGCTTTCTTCCTGTCAGCTTTCTTCATTGTCCACTTTCACACCCATACACAGTAATGAGGAATACTATGGTATTAATTATCTTGATTATGAAACAAGAAAACTGTTCGATGCAAACACCCCAAAGCAGCAAAAAACAAACTGCACATTTAACAGCCAATAGTAGCTAATACAGCAAATACTACCTAAAAGATCACCCAGTACCACTAGCAGAGCACTTCTTAGAGCACTTCTTAGTCCGTTGCCTTTTTGGCCAGAGATAAAGAGATAATGTAAAGAATAATTTTCTTCCTGGCATTTCCAAGATCCTAGGGTCAGAATCCATGATGGGCTTCAGTCCCGTACCACCATATTCTTTCTCTGTCTTGCCTTCCTCAGGTCTTCTCCACTCCCCATGGCCTGGAGGTGCATGTTCGTCGTTCACATAGTGGCACCAGACCCTTCGCTTGTGAGATGTGTGGCAAGACCTTTGGCCACGCAGTTAGCTTGGAACAGCATAAAGCTGTGCATTCACAGGTGAGAATGCCACAGGAAGACAACTATAATGGGGTGGGAGAGTGGGAGTTCGGATGAGTGTGCACATCTGGGGCTTAATTTTATTATTTATTTATAGTCTGCCTTTCTCATTTTGTTCTGAAGCAGAGTATGCAGTGTACATCAGCACAATCAATAGGATGAGACATAATAAGTAAAGTACTATGACCAGGATACAGGAATCTGAACAAGCATAGCATATTAGAACTCATACAGAGTGCAGATACAATGCAGAAAAATGGCATTACATCAGTAGAAAGTAATGCAGCAATAAGCAGGATAATATGTGCAGCAAACAGATAATCCATCATGAATGTTTGGGAACTGGGCAGAGTGGCCTAGTGGAGGAAGGACCTAGACTTTCAAACTGGGCTGACTTTCATGTTTGTCTCACTTCAGCAGTCACCATGGATTTACATGTGTAAGACCTTTTGACCTGGCGGATGAGTTTTGTGAATGTTCTGAAACATGTTCAGACTTTAATTCTCCATTTTTTGGCTCAAATCCCTTTCCAACGGTTTTCCAGTCCACAGCGATTCCTGATAATTTACCACAGAAAATGGCTCCTGTTTCTTCAACGGCCCCCGCCCCCCCCCCCACACACACACACCCCTTATCAGGAAAGCCTTTACTGCTGTCTCTCCATGCTGGGACAAGCTTTGCATGCTAGATTTCTTCATGCCAGGCTGTTATTAAAGAAATGGAGCAATGCAAGGGGTGTGTGAACTGGCCCTCAGAACACTGAGGTACATCAATCTGAGAACTAACTTTTACTTGCCGGGTTACTGTATGAAGTTGCAGTTTGGAAGCAAAAGAAAGGGTGTGCCTGTAATGTCAGCTGTTGGCCTTTGTGGTCTTATGGGGCCTTTGAGGGAGGTGAATTAATGCTCCACTCACAGGAACATTCATCTTGTGCAACTACATAAGGTCCCTTCTCTTCCCACAGGAGCGCAGCTTTGACTGTAAAATCTGTGGTAAGAGCTTCAAGAGATCCTCCACCTTGTCCACCCACCTCCTCATCCACTCAGATACCCGGCCTTATCCATGCCAGTACTGTGGGAAGAGGTTCCACCAGAAATCTGACATGAAGAAGCATACTTTTATCCATACAGGTAAGTTCGGTGTTCTTCTCAACGGCCAGGCATCATGGGTCCTTCTCCTCTTGTTGTTTGGACAAATGAGCATCTACTTCCCTTGACTGTGCCTTGCTGCATCTGATGAAGTGTGCGCCAGTTCATGAAAGCATATATCACAATAAATAAATCAGTTTTGGTGATCTAGTAGTATATAAGGGCAAACAAAGCAATGCATGTATTTTCCATTTTTATGTGTATTGAAGCGGGAAAATAAATTTCTGTTCACAAAAAATGGAGACCATGCATATCACAGGATAATGGGTACCATGCATCTTTGTTGGAGCATCAAAATCATAATGATCAAACAGTCTTTAAGTTCTCATAACACTTTTTATTTTTCTTAACATGACTCACATGGCTACCATCTAGAATTTGTGATCATTATCATGTGGGTACATTTTCACATGGCAGGGGCAGGCATGCCTGTGCAAACATTTTGTTGTGGGCATGGCGTGCAGAAAATGACCACAAGTCTGGTGACCCCATCCACAGGAGTGGCTCAGCACGCGATAATTGCTGCAAAAAATAACAACTTAAATCTGCTTCTGTGTGGCTGCTGTAGAATGCATACTAAAGCCCAAACTACATAAGATGGAGCTGGATTTGCACACCTGTCCCATTCATGAGCACAGTAGGGTTGAAAGGGCCAAAGGTGTGACTGGACAGAGGAATCACCCCTTTCCCTGCAGTTTTCCTGCCTGCAGCCAATCCCTCCTGGTGCTATGTTCCCATCCAGTCTCACTTCCAGTTATCAGTGCCCACATGGAAGAAAAGCACCTGGGAGGATGGGCTGCAAGGGGTTAACAAGCAACAGGTGACAAGGGAGGTCCACATGTCCCTGAAATTCCCCGGTATTTTACATGTGAATGGGACAGGCCCACACTGAAAGTTGTGCTTAACTGTAATGTGGAGCCAGCTTTCAAACTCAGAAGGCACTCCTTATTTCTACAGAGAGGGCAGGAGCTATACTGAAGGGGTGGGGAATGTCCCTCCAATACCACATTAATGAAGACTTTGACTCATGCTGAGAAAAGGCCAAGCACAAGAGAGGGGCAAAAAGAATTATTTTAACTTGATTTGCTTTTATATTTTGTAAGTTGGGAGCCCACAAGGAATTGCAGGGGGTGTGATGGGATAAGGACATAAGCAATAGGGAAATCCCCCTGCCCCATAGCTTAATAATGTGGGAGTGCTGACCCAGAAAATAGCTTCCTGCTCATTTCGCCCAAACCTCAGCTGCCCAGTGGTGTAATGCAACTGCTGTGAACCACTGACTGATTGCAGAGATTTGGGGCTAAGTAAGCACTGTAGTGCAGGAAGGGTTCTTATAAAAACTTTTCTTTCTAATGCCAAAGAGGAGAGCTTGATAGGAGGAAACTGGGGTTGGGCATCCTCATTTCACCCCCTATTTTAGGATACAATAAGCTGTTTGGGGCTCGGGTGCCTCTATGCAGATGAAAGAGTCCTGAAGGGTCGGAATATGGGTTTTTCTTGTGATCCTAATTAATCCCTCCAGTGGGACTGTTTTAACTGCAAAATGGTCCTAACTCTTAAAAAGCTAAATAGCACTTTGTCTCTTATTCCTGCCCCCCCAATACTGCAAATGGTTAGGGTTTTGATTAGGCACATTTCTCCCCCTTCTTTCATTCTCCTTTAATGGTCGCTCAACTGCCCTCAGCATTTGGACAATAAGCATGCTCAGTCTTCATCAAATCATTTGGAGGCCGGGTACTCGTCTTTTTAATGCACAAGCTAATGTTATTCTGCATATATGTGTGGAGTCTCAGGGCATTCTCCTCTTCTGTGTAAGGGATGCCAACAGACCTAGAGAAAGATGTTGTATGCCATTAATGGGATGTAATTTACCAGATAGTATTATTCCCCAGCGCCCTGCCATGTCATTTCCAAACATTAAGCCTCTGTTAAAGGACCAGAACATTTTTCTCCAGGGCAGTTGGCAACCCTATTTCTGCCCTCTTCCCTACCCTCCTGTTGTATGGTTTTCCTTTCCTCACCAGCCCTCTCATCATGTGTTTTCCTTTCCTCACCAGCCCTCCCCTCCTTTTTTTGCAGATTTTTCAACTTGACTGTGCATTCACAGATGTCACTAGTTATTTGGGGGGGGGGGTGCAGGGTAAATCTCCTATATTCCCCTGGCTTTGTAGAAATATCCCCCCTATCCCATTGTGTGGGCTTTTTGATTTACATAGTGGGATTAAGTTCAGAATCAGAGATGTGATGCCATGCTCCTATATGGTGCTCAGAGCGGCTCACCTAGGAGGACTCCCACAATCTCCCATCAGAGTTGTAGCCAGCCTCCCCCACAGGAGGGCCTTTCATGTTTCTGGGTGGATGTTCAAAAACAATGAATGGAGAATAAGTGATCTCTTCATAACTAACAGAAACTTCTCGAAACATGTCTCCAAGCTTAAGGGGTTTATGTCTATTCATTGTTAGCATCAGAAACATAGATTGTGAATAAGAGCATTCATTTTAAAGTCTGGAAGCTTTTACCTAGATATAATTTAACTATGTTCTTAAATAAATAACGACTGCCTTAAATTACCACTCATCCCCTCTAAATTCCCTGACACATACAGAGTCATGGTAGTTGAAGTGGGACCCCCCCCCCAATCACTTAAGTATGTCAAGGGAGATAATGATTTTTTTTTGGGGGGGACCACACAAAGTCACAGAGAATCTTAAGAGGCAAAATTGGGGAAGGGGTCAGGTAGGTGGCATTTGAAGCACTACCGTTTTGGATGACAATAAATAGTCACTGACTATTTCTTAATCAGAAATGTTGCCATTCTAAAAACAAGCTTTCATTCTTAAAATAAAAGCTGTCATATCATAAATAGTCTATTTAAAAGGATTAGCCAAGTGAGGCAAATCTATGTTCAAGGTGGGGTGGTCCATCCTGGCTTTGGTGTCCTCTGTCTAAGCACCAGTGTTACAGGGCTGGGTATTTCCGGACCATTTGCTAGGCCCAAACCTCGTGTTTCCTGACAGTCCAATCAGTGTTGCTTTCATAGGATTCACCCTGTGTTTACCCATGCTTTGTATTTAGAGAAGGGTGGATCAAGTGGTTAAGACACTGAACTGCAGGCTGGAAGGGTCAGCAGTTCGAGACCCGGGTGCCGCATGACGGAGTGAGCTCCCGTCTCTGGTTCCAGCTCCTGCCAACCTAGCAGTTCAAAAATTGCAAGTAGATAAATAGGTACCACTTCAGTGGGAAGGTAACAGTGTTCCGTGCGCCTTGGCGTTTAGTCATGCCAGCCACATGACCACGGAAACGTCTTTGGACAGCGCTGGCTCTTCGGCTCAGAAACGGAGATGAGCACTGCAACTCTAGAGTCGGATTTGATTGGCTTTCGAGCAAGGGAAACCTTTACCTTTACCTGTCAACCCCAGGACATTTGGGGGTGGAGCCTGTGGCGGGTGGCATTTGGGGAGGGAGCTCAGCGGCGGCGTTTACCCTCCAAAGCTTCCATTTTTTCCAGGGGAACTGTAGTCCAGAGATCAGTTGTAATTCCAGGAGATCTCCAGGCCCCACCTGGAGGCTGACAGTCCTTTTTGTAAGCAGTTATATATCTATGGCTGTTATTTGAGCTGGGCAGATCCTAGTAAGAATATAGCTGGTGATGGTTACACCACCCAGCCCAGCCCAGCCCAGCCCAGCCCAGCCCAGATTTCTACAGCACCTTCTCTTTCAGGGTTCTACACCAAGCTGAAGTACTCGGATCCTCACTCTCAGTCTAAATGTTTGCTCAGTGGTAATCTCACTACTGAACTTCAGTTCTACCTGACTTTCCAGTCAAATGCCTTTAGGGCCATATGTCGGAAAAGGAGCCAGGCCGTCAAGTTTCACTGTCTGCTATGGTGAACCCAGAAACTAATAAACTGCAAATGAATAATTGAGGAAAATAAGAGGAAGACTATTAAATTATACCGAAGATTTTATCAGAGATTTTTCACTAGGGGGTCCTAACCAGTGGCTCTCTTGGTGACAGCAATGGTAAACTGCAAAAATTAAATCTCTCTCAACCCCCCCCCCACAAACCGTCCCCCCCCCCAAGCTGAAGGCAGCAGGAAAAGAGGAAGACCCAACATGAGATGGGTTGAGCCAGTCGAGGAAGCGGGGTGGCCCTCAGCTTACAAGACCTTAACAAGGACACTTTGGAGGTCATCAGTTCATGGGGTCGCCATAAGTCAGAAGTGATTTGATGGCGCTTAACACAGAGACATACACAAGACTGTTTGGTTCAAAACTATCTGCATTTGCAAAGAGGTTGTTATGAAATTGTACCATCTGGAAATAATAGTTGTGAGGTTTCGTATCTTATATTTTAAAAAGTTAGGAGTGTTCACTTCCTCCATATGAACCATTTTATATTGTGCAATTTGTGCTGGGGGGGGGGATTTGTGCTGCTTCTCCCCTTCCATGGCAGGCCTCCAACTCCCCATTCATGCTCTTCCTTCCGGGACAGGGGCTGCCCCTGAGGAACAGCATTTCAGGGAGCATTTTGTGTGCAGCAGGACAGGGGAGGTGAAAAACTCCTGTTCCACTGATGGACATCCAGTGTAAACCATCACTGGATCCAACCCTGCATTTATATTTGTTATTTAAAGCCTGTAAAGGCCTATGTGGTTATATCAATTACTTGCTTATTATACATAACGAGTTGGTTGAATAAAAGGTATATGAGGGAGATGTGGTTGCCATGTATCCGAAGGACTGATGCAGGTATGGATGTGCAATCTGCTTTATGATGCACATCCAAGTCTTCACTGCACTGACAGAATGCATTTTTGAATGGAAATATGTATCAACATCTAGGCCTAGAAGTTCCCAAGCACATGCCCTTGCACATTCTCTATGGCCTGCGCCAAGGGTCCCCAACGAGTAGCTCGTGTGCTACCAGTAGCTAGTTGACTGCTATAGAGGAGCTCACGAATCCCTAGAAGACCCAGGGGGGAAAAACTGTGAGAACATCTGCTCTGGGCTTTAAAAATATTCATAGGCTGTTTCTCCATGATTCTTAGTTGAGAGCTTCATTTCTGGAGCTCTTCCTCCATGAAGGGGACCCAGGGCCTAGGCCATTTGAAAAACAAGAAAGTGTAATTCAGGTACAAGGAAATAGCAAGCTCGTCTGGTATAGTGGGTCAGAGTGCTGGGGCCTGGGATGATTCAGGTTCAGCACTCAATTCACTGGGTCACCTTTGACCAGTCACTCTTTAGCAGCCTAACCCTACCTTACAGGGTTATTGTGAGAATAAAATGAGGAGGGGGGACTATGCTGAGTTCCTCTGAGGAAAGAGAGGATAAAAAATGTGATCTATAGATAGAAAATAATGTTTCATTCCCTTGGACAAGTCAAAAGTTAAATCAAATCCTTTTCAATAACCAGTTTCTAGAGTCATTTCAGTTGCTATCCGTTTATTATATGCATCTCAAATTTCTCCGAGTTGCATTTTTGTTGTGGGAATATCAAAATTTCCCAGCAAGGGATATTCTGTGTTTTCCACCTGGGAAAATGCAGTTCTTTCTACAATCAAGTGCATTTGTGGACCCCAAATAGAATACACTTGCAAGAGTGTCATAGGCCCCTAGTAGCTATTGTCTATTATTTATTTAGTACATTTTTGTCCTGCCATGCCTTCAAGGTGCTCAGAGGGGCGTACCATCGCTTGTCCTTCCTCCATTTTATCCTCATTCTTATTCTTCAGGCTTGTTTGCTAGGGATGCTAAAGTGTTTGTCTTTGTTGTTGTTGTTGTTCATCCTCAGGTGAGAAGCCCCACAAATGCCAGGTGTGCGGCAAAGCTTTCAGCCAGAGTTCCAACCTCATCACTCATAGTCGTAAACATACCGGCTTCAAGCCCTTTGGTTGTGATCTTTGCGGGAAAGGTTTCCAGAGAAAGGTGGATTTGCGGAGACACCGGGAGACACAGCACGGTCTGAAATGAGAGCCACAGGGAATCTCAAAACAACAAGAACACTATGTGAACAGACTTCCTCTTCTTCCTGGTGGGCTGCCCTGCCCTGTTTGTGGTCTGGCCCTTCAGCCACTTCCTGCCATAACCTCACTAAACAGGAAGTCAAAACTGGCTGGCCGGCATCTTGCAGAACTTAACCGAAAGACCTTGGGAGGAAAATGGAATGCCAAGGGTGAAGGAAGGTGGGGCAAGGACTCTCTATTTCTGTGTCTCTTCCTTTACAATTAAACACTGGAAACAATAACCTTACCCTGCCACCTTGAAGCCCCAGAAGCCCCCATATGGATAAGCTACCTGGTGCCTTTCTGTGAATCAGAAAGTACTCTTGTTTAATGAATCCCCTTGTTAGCTGGACTTGTTTTAAGTTAATTTTCTGGGAAGCCTGAACTACATGAGGTAATAGTAAACACTGAGCAGTGGCTTGACCAAGAGCAGAACAAGGATGGCTCGCTTTTGTACATTTTAGTAATTAACAGAGGTTTTAGTTCACTGTTTCCACTGGGAACGCAAATCCTTGCCAGTTTTCAGTGGCAAATGCTTCACTTTTCAGACTGAATGGAGTCGGTGGGGATATAGATCTTCTCCTGTTTTTATACTTCCCTCTTTCTTTTACAATGCTTAGAATATCAGGCAAGATCCAGGAACTCATGAGTGGTAGAGAATGCCAAACATATGTTTCAGACTTGCGTCTGAAGATGTCTGCCTATGGCACATTTCTGGCCACCTTTTGAAAGGGAGGTAGGGGGGAAAGGCAACATCAGAAGCAATAGTCTGAATTTGTTCACACAGGTTTAAATATTTGCTGAAGCTTAATCTGAAGAGTGCTCTTGGGCCTGGCCTAGTTCTGGGGCGTCCAGTGTGGGAGGAATGGGCGGAGATGTCAAGCTCCAGAAGTGTGCTGCCACTGCAGTCTCCTCTGTAACACTCAAAAGCTCATTGGCTTAGAATGTCTGTGGTAAAGGATCGTGGGATCTTTTGAACTTCTTGACAAGCAACTGCTAAGGCACAGTAGTGACCCATCGGATGGACTATGTGAGTCTCAGTGAAATCATAAGCAGAGTTATGCCTGTCTAGGTCCATTAAAGTCTATGAGCTTAGGAGGCTGTGATTCTACTTAAGATTGCTCTGCCAGATGCTTCTCAGGCTTTGGTGGCTGGGATGAAGAACCTTAATATTATCTTCCACATTCTGAACAGCAGCAGCTGTTACCAGGCAATTTACCAGGACTGCCCTGAACAGACTGCTGCTGGAGTCCAGGTTTGGAATTGTTAGGGAAACAGCTTAGCTATGTCAGTAATGCACAATATGGATCAACCCAAGCTAATACCAATGACTAGCGCTGACTGAATATGATGGCAACCAGCAATAAATGGCTAGCAATACCCTGTGGTTCATGCTCTGTTTTTACAAACACAAGGTCCAAAACCATTCACACCTCCTCTAAAGTTCATTCACAGTTGCATACCATATGGTAAATGTTTAATGGCTCCCTTCAAGTCAGGAATTTTCCTTAAGGAAAAGTCAATGTTCCTTCTATGGTGTCTTCCAAGAGTTTCTGTCTGTTTGGTAAAGTGCTGGTTGTTATGTGTGTGTATGGCCTTTATGTGCACCTGTTTTGTAGAGAACAGTCTATGGAGAGCTCAAAAGGAAGAGCCAAATGTGAAGCGAGTGATGCCTTATTGATCAGAAATGAATGTGGTTTGCTCTGGAGTGGAAAAAGGCAAACCTAAGGGACAGCTGCTGATTTCCCTTCCAAAACGTTGATGGCGTTCTATGTTAGATTGTGGCTTGAAGGTCAGTCCTGGAAGTGGAGATGCTTTCCTGCAGCAGAAAGAGCCTTCCCCTGACGCAGGACATCTGCACCATGGGAAGGTTCCATGGTTCTGCTCGTGGGATGCCTCTTTGGTGAGAAATCGCTGTTGAGCTCCTAATACGGCGGTATGAATATTTGGGTTACTTTCTCTGAAACAGTCTTGTGTCTGAAAGGGCCCAGCAGCGATTATCAGTATGTAATGGTATGAATTTGCCTTAATTAACCCTGTGCATACCTCAGTGGCAGAGAAAAATAACATGTTTTTACTTTATCAGTAGGGTTGTGAATGCCTTTATTTAGATTTTACAGTGTGTCTTATGTTCATTGTTGCATATTTATTGGAATAACATTTTAAATTAATAAAGTACTGAGGATCATCAGAAGTAGTATTTATTTCAACAGAAAGCCTTAGCCGAACCGATATCACAATCCTCTAAGCACTTGCTTGCAAATAATATACACTGAAATCAATGGGGCTGATGTCCTCATTGACTTAGGTGTTAATGTGCATAGCATTTTTTGTGCATGTGTACACAGTTTGTGTGCACTAATGTCATGTAACTCATTCATGCATGGTATTCAAATAGAATGTAGGCATGGGGCTGGACTTGCAAGCATGTATCCCATTTTCATGTAAATAGATAAAATCATGGGACCAAGGACTTCTGCTAAATACAGCAAGACTCATGGATGGCAAGGAGGAAGACAGAGAGAGGGAGGCGTTACTTTTTGTCATGCATATTTCTGACATGATGTCAGTACCATTCAGTTTGTGTGGCACATGCTTGCCAAAATTTGCCAAACAGTACAAAAGTGCAGGCAGGCAGTTGTTCTACAAAACTCTCTGCCGTGCCCGTGTTGCAGTAAGTGGGGCTGACTGGCCCTTTAACTACCTGGGAAACATCCTGGTGGGCCACTGCCTTGGAGGGTTGCTGGTGGCCGGGAGAAGGCTGAGCCAAGTAGTCCCTGTGAAGCTGCCGGCACTTCAGGGGCCACTTGGCTCAAGGCCTGCTCCTACTCTGCCCCTGGAAGTCACTCCCTTGACATGTGTTTGACAAGATGCCAGTGAAACAAAACTACTCAGAATGGTCCTGGGCTGGACCACCGATGGAGCAATATATTTTAAGAAAAGGAATGACCTGGCATCCTCCATAAGTATTGTCCTTTGACATGGCTGTCTGCATATGTAGCTTCAGTAGCTTTTGCAAAAGCCTGCAGGATGCACGAAGGAAGATTTTTCAGGCATACCAGAAGGATACTGTTAACTGAATGGGAGAAAACATTTAAAGAAGAATAAGATGCAGGCAAGGGTGGGATAGCCACATCTTTTTAGCTACCTTTGCTTTGCTTGAGGAAACAGTTCAGAGAAGTTGATGCAGAGCGAACGCGGGCCAAGGTGATGTAATTTGACTCAAGAGGAGAGTGTGGGACTGTCTGGCTCCTCTCAGCTTTCATTCCCAGGAGAAACTTCTTCTACCTCCAGGTGTTCCTTTTAAAAGAATCATGAGCATGACAAGCAATTCTGGATCCAGAGTGCAACCCAATTTGGCGATCCACTTAACCAGTGGAGTCTGATGGCATGCTTCATTTTCGTGACAGTCTCTGGAACCAAATTCTGCATTTGCCACAAAATGCTTTTCAGCCCTCCCCCCTCCCCCATTTGTGGATCATAAGAGAAGCAGAAAAGCAGTTATATGCGTACGTGATTCAAGTTTCTAAATCAACTGATGTTTCAGCCTTCCAATACGCCTGTGATTTTGGTCTTGGTACTAAGTTGTATGTGTTGAACAAGAGTTCAGGTAGTCTGCTTGGACTGTGGGCAGTGAAGATGCAATCAAAGTTTAGTATTAATTACTTTGAATTGTGGCCAGGTAAGTTGTACTCTTTGGTCACATAATTTATGTGAGTTCTAAAAAAAGCCTTTCTTTGAACAGCTGTATTAGTACTAATTAATTTTAGCACCTACACAATGTACAAAAATATTTTAAAGATCTTGTTCAAACCTATTGTAGTTCCATGGAACATGTTATATTTCTGCTCCTTTTGCAGGCAGTGAGCTGAGAAAATCCAGCTCCAATCTAAAGCCAAAGATTTTAACTGCTGTCTTTTGCACATTCAGGAGAGTTTTATGAGTACAGCCTTCTTGACACATCAGAAAGCAAGTAGGAGACTCCATGGCTGAACATTTGCTGCATATGGAAAGCCAGTCTGTTTTCATGGATTCTAAAGTTGTTTCCTAAGTGCAGGGTGGTTTTTGAATGTAAGGAAATATTCAGTTATGTGATTTCCCATAGCATTCTGAAGTTGTGCAAGTGCAGGATGGCTATACCACAGGGCTTTGCTGAACATGTAGACTGGCCTTTAAAAATATCGATACAGAAGAGTTTTTTAAGATGCTGTAGCTATTCACTCAGTATGATGAAAATCACCCAAACCACTGGTGTTATGTATTATCCATTGTAACTTCTACTCACAGTCAGCATGGTGGACCACAAGGATTGTGGGGTCAGGAGTGGTAGTGTGGAGTAGTCAACACAGAAGATAATGCCACAAAATCCTGTTCATTTGCATCCTGTTCATTTGCATACTACTTCCTGTGTGCTCAGTTGTATCATAAAGGTCCTTTGGAGCACATCTACGAAGATTGTGCCTATCTTGTTCTAGGGAACCTTGGGGTATCAGCCACTTAACACAAGATTGCTGCTTTTTAAAATTCTGAAGTGGCAAGCTGTGGCTACATGGGGATCTGAGGCCCTACCACAATCTGGGCAGAAAAGCACATGTGCACGCACGCACATGCGCGTGCACGCACGCACATGCGCGTGCACGCACGCACATCTATTTCACATCGAATCTTTTTAAGCAGTGATCATCTGAGAAGTGCTCACCTGTTCTCATCTCAGGTAAGAATGAATGCCTTTGGGATTTAGCTATCTGCTTCAAAGCTGCTGGGTGGGTGACAGCAGTTTTGTAACTAATGTGACCTGGGGACAGGATAGTTAAAAAAAAGAAAGAATGTCTGTTCCAAACAGTGAAACTGAGGGAAATGTCTTAATAATCTCCCCAGCAAGGAATCAAAACAAATTATTAAGACTGTTACAGTGTGAAATTTGAAGATTGTAAATATCTTTCCTAATGTTATTACTTAGTTGCATTA